ATAATAATAATATAATAATATAAGAGGTATTATTAGCTCTCGATTACATCAATGTTGTTCAATACGGAGGAGGTATCACTATAGTGAAATGTGATTCACCATTAGGATATATATGCCCGTGTATGGATATGTTACGCATGTCTGTCCGATAATGTTTTGCAGAGACATTGTTGATGATCCATGCGCAGCATTAATTGACATGCTATCGGATTCTGTGTGTTAAATAGATGTGGAGTGGAACCAGGAAAGGCAGCAGTAAGCCTGGCCCAAGTTGCTCAGAAGTTGTCTGGCGTGGAATTTCGAGGAATACAGTGTTATAACGGGTAAAGTTTGCCTGTTGGTTACACACATTAAAATATACGGTATACGGTATAATGTTATTAGAAAAATATCCATATAGTGGCAGTGCATACATATAGTCAGGAACATATCATTGATAAAATACAGGTAAAACGTAAGTATGCAGACCTGCACATGTAAGGTTATTGTTAAACAGTTGAAAAGAGACAAAAATTAAACATATAATATAAAAATGTATAATTTAAGTTGCTGCTGGTCCTAGTTGAACGTTTGTGAAGGCACCTACCCATGCAGTATGCAAGACAGCACAGCAGAAAAATGAAAACATGTTTGTATGATTCGATGTAGACTGAATCAACACATCCGTGAAGCCGGGGACAGAAAAAATGCTGTGGCTCTTGTTGTAACAAAGACTGAAGACACACTGAAGGTGATGCATCACAGTCATTCACATGTGGAGTTTTACAGTATTTATTATCTACATGCGATTATGTGAAATTTCCAGAAAATTGAATGTTTTGTTCTGTTTTGTAGAAGAATATTTTCTGTTGTCATGATTCAAAATTGCTTTTAATGAATTTCACGTGTTAATTTGAATTTTGTACAAGTTCAGAAGTTAAGAAATCTGTTGATCACCATTAGCATTCTTTGTAGTAGACGTGTGTCCATGTTATAGCCGTGTCCACTAACACGGGTTGCACTGTATTCTGCAGCATTTTAAAGCAGGTGGGATCGAGTGCCCGCTCGTGACTGGAGGTGGAACCGGTACCTACACCTATGAAGCTGCAAGCAGCATTTTCAATGAAGTACAGCCTGTATCTTTGCCACAGTGATGTGTGTTTGTGGGTGTGTGTATGTTCCTCTGTGTGTGTCTGTGTGCCTTTGTGCGTGCGTGTGTGTGCGTGCGTGTGTGCGTGCGTTCATACGTGCATGTGAGTAAGTGTACACGTATGTATCTGTGCGCCTGCATCCAAACCTAGCATCCACCTGTAGTACTACATATCGTTGTGTAAGCCTTGACATCACCGCGCGCTCCTGCAGGGATCGTATGTGTTCATGGATGCAGACTATGGCAGGGACCACGGTTCACCCGTGCACGACTACCTACACACCCTGTTCGTTCTGTCAACCGTACAGAGTGTCACCGTAAGTGTGTGACGTCACGCGCACGATACACGCCGCCCCTCCTCCGTACCGATAGCGAGTGATGTAGATCGTATATGTAACCCATGCAGTGACGTCAAAGGTATTTGCAGCACTTGTGGGTGGATGTGGAGGGATGTGGGAGATCCGGAGATTCTATTTCTGTTTTCATAATTTATGCTTTTCAGAATTTGTAATAGGTTCGTTAACGTTAGTTAGGTAGTTAACGAGCAGAGCGTATGTCCTATTTAGCTCTAATTTCTTGGGAATTTCGTCTCTGGTCCCCAACCATCTCCCTTTCAGTTTTTATGTATCTGACCCCTTATAGATCGAGATGTCTCTGTTTCATATTTGGTGTAAAACATCAGAAGTACTGTGTCAAACTAAGACGGGAAATCGTTACAGTTAACAGTCGGTGTGTTCGTTTTTAGCTCATCTGACATAGTCAGATGCAGCTTGTAGAATCGCATGATCGTCCGTCCGTCCGTCCGTCCGTCCGTCCGTGCGAGCGTCCGTCCGTCCGTCAACAGTTGGGCACAAATCTTAACCGCTCGACGTACG